TCTCTCTCTCTCTCTCTCTTCCCTTCCCTGCGCTTCTCATTCACCGGATCGGAGCGGACGGGTAAATGCTCGCTTGGCCCTCCTCTTTCGCGCCTCTTCCACTCGGGCTCCCTCCATTTATTCTCCTTCGCGATAATACTTCACGTTCGAAAAGTATTCCCAGCGGGTTTGCGCGCGATTTCGATTACCGGTGATGACGAGCGCGCGATATACGACGTGTAGCGGAGGCTCTCTCACGGCCGAATGTCCTTCTAACGATTCGCGTCTTTACGTGAGAAGAAGAAAAATCGTATTCACTCATCGAACTTGTCGTACGAGATGTTCACCCTGGCGCGTCACCAAGACACGGTCGGAATGCAGCAGCGACTTGTATTTACCCGGTGGGTAGGAGAATGTTATATCGTGGCAGGGGCCAAAGAGTAGTAGAGGAGGCACTCGGTATTCCCGGTGAGCACTCGCGTCGTGCCTCGTTGCCGTTGTAATAACCCCCGTAGATCATACCGGCACACGTACACGCCCACGTCGTGCCGAGCCGCACGGCGCGACCGGGCATTATTCATTGAACGGAGGACGACACACTTCCAGCCCCTGAGAAACGTCTCGCGCGACGGTAACGATATCTCTTCGCGCCCAGGTACGCTCGGCATCCTGTGCGACACTTTTCCATTTCGGCCCAAGTTTTATTCGGCAACAGCGAATTCTTCCAATGTGGAGCCATTGGTCGGACCGTTGGACATTCCATTCGATCAGTAACGCGAGATCGTGTGGCTTTCGATTTTAGAAAAACCCGCTTGTCGCTTTCCGTGAGTCGCTACGCGATCGTTAAGACGCACGATGTTGCGCATGATTTATCAATGGTTTTATGGAGGATTTACAATCCGGACAGGACCGGTAATGGGAGCCAATCGGCTGAGCCTTTTAATCCTCTTACATCGTTTTACGCTGCGGAAGCGCGTCTGCGACTCGATGCCGCGATTCTTTCGCCCGTAATCGATTTTCACGCCTTCGACGGCGTTGTAAATTCTCGATGTAATGTATCTGTCGAAAGTACGAAATAAATTCGTCCGTTTTCTCTCTCTCTCTCTCTCTTCGAGACGAGACACATCGGGGACGCGCGATTCACCGGGGACATTCGTTGTCCTCGCGAAAAAAAACATACGTACGTGCACTCGCTCTTTAATTATTCGGTTATTAATCGTCAAATTCAATCGAGCCGCTTTCCACGCGGCTCGCACGACCCGAGCACGTGCGTGCTCGGGTCGCGCGGCACGCGACGCGCTTACGTGAGCACGCATACGCGAGGAATGCGCGTGTTTCTTTATAAAGTCGGGATATATCAACTCGCGTCTTTCGTGACCGTCGGACATTAATTATGTGCCGTGCCTTTTAATACGAATCTCGCCTTTATGAGGAGGGGGGAGAAAAAGGCGCGCGACAAAAGCACGTACCTGACGACGGAATTATATTTTCGCATCCAGCCTCTCGCCCGCCCCTTCTTTCGTCCGCTTTGATAACGTATTTTTATCCATCCTTTCCGATCGATTGCTGTACGATACGATTGGAATAAAACGTTCTCATATCCAGCGCGTATCGATCCGAAAATCATCGATCATACAAATTCACGCAACGACACCTGGTCTGACCTCCCTCCCTCCCTCCCTCCCACTCCTTTTTCCCTATTTGCCTCTCTTTCTCTCGTATCGTTTCTCCTATCTCCGGAGCCCGTGTCATCTCAATCCTCCGCCTCGAAGAATTCCGGGGTCTCGTACGGTTCGGCTAATAAAATCATCTGCATCAGACCTGGGTATTATCTGACGAATTCATCTGCTTATCGAGCAATAAAACGCCACGGTCGTCCTCCCGATGCTATCTCCTCCACCTTTTCTCTTCTCTCTTCTTCTCGCGTAGGTGCCTAGACACAACGTGGCGCCATGCCAACCTTTCCTACATATGTGTGTATATATAACCTCCTTCTTGCTCGCTTTTTTCCTTAGCAACGTTCAATACGCCCCACAGGACGCTCCTTACGTTCGGGCCCCCGGTTTAATAAGAATCTTATGCCAATTATACGATATTTATAATCCACTGAAAAAACGATTCCTGTAATCTCGCCTAGGAATCTCGGAGCCTGGACTCTCCGTCTGTCACGGATTATCCGTGTCTGTGACGAGAGATGGACTGTAAAAACCAAATATACAGGCAGGACGACGTAGGATTATCGTGCCGAAAACGAATAAGGCTTGCGTTTGTTTGAATATACCATCTTGTCAGTATATTTCTTTTTTTTCCTTTTTTTTTTGCGAAACAGACACAATATGATAGAGTTGTGTTCGAAGTGACGAGAACAATGGTTTTATTTTCTTTCTTCCGCTATCATATAAGCGTATACACAATAAAAATAATAATTATTACAAGAATGTTACATGCGTTTCCTTATTTAACGCTATTTACGCTCAACGCTCCTAGATTTCTGTATTTACAAGATATCACACATAACAAAAATTGTTAATATCTTACATTGAACACCTACGCTGTCGTAATCCGCGCTCTGGCTACGTTTTGACTGTATATACAATTTCGCCGAGTCTCTCTCAAAATACGTATCTCTCGTGTTCACCAAAATAAATTCACGGGCAAACGACTCTTCTTACTTTACATTCGCGCTATTTTACTTTTCCGCTGACTCTTCCGTCTCACTAATACGAACGGTGCTCTACCATTGGATTCTATTGGGTGTACTTTGAACGCGTGTGGGAGATTGCCAAACGAAGAGATTATGACTCGCGTTAACAGTTGGTGATTAATAAATTGAGGCACGAGCGTGACTTGTATATCTTCGTAAATCTGTATTCCATTTACATTATCTTGTATAATATAATTCGAGAACCTGTGTAAATGACGTCAATGTTAGATGCATGCGTGCGTGCGTGCGTATGTATGTGTGTGTATATATGTATGTTGTATAAAGTTGGGAAAATTAAACTAAAAGTTTCTTTTAGTGAAACCGCATAGTTCTGAAAAAGAAATTTATTCGCAGGAAATAAACGTATATAAAAAAATAAGGTAATCGGGCGTGTTGCAGAGGAACTTTACAACGCCATAAATAATATAATGTTAAATGTAAAATCTTGGAGTAACAAAACAGACATTATAATATATAATTTATTAAAATATAAAAATCTCTTTTATACACATATACAAGGTACAACTGAAATATACGTGACCAGACTTTAGAAATGCATTCTGCTCATTTTGAGGAGAAAATTTCAAAAGTCTCCCTTTTGGATGAAAAGAATGGTCAAGATATTTGTCGAAAAATTATCAGAAAAATTTCTTTCATTCTCTTAAGATGACTAGAATACACTCCTAAACTTTGATTACCTATTTCAGTTACACCCTCTATAGAACGCAAATTTAGTCTCTTCAGGTTGTCCAGTTACATTTTAGGGGAAGAAAAAAATGTAACGTACTTAAAGATAATTACAATTTTGCGATCGTATTCAGAGCGAGGGTGTACGTTTAAATGCTCAGTCTTTCAGGTTTCAGAATAGTACAATGGCTAATTGCAATTTATTCCAACGTATCGTTTTATATTTTATCATTTATCCTATTAAGTATACGTTCGGATCACAAGAAGCAATCGATGAGATATTATTGCGGCGAGTTAATTATAAGGAAATTTCTGAGCGTGTTCCTAAATTATATCCTGCTGAGCTGGAAACGCAGTTAGCAATGCGCTATTGACGTTTGAAATTTTTTGGGACATCCTAGAAAAGAAAGAAAGCGTACAGACTCGCGCGTTGGTTTAATATCGCGCTCGCCTAAATACGCGCGATGTGGTCATAACAGATTCCCAATTATTATTTTCGATTCCCATTTATTATTTTCGATCAAACGGAGCGATTGAGTACGTGTGACGAATATCTTGTTGATGTTTCGCGCGACCGTCGTGCCGGGAGTACCGCGGGCAGTGGCAGTATTCTGAAACTTAAAAGGTAACTGTCATCCTTCGTTTGTGCTGATTTCTTAATTATCGAGAAATGTATCGAAAAAATTAGCGAAAAATTTATCGGAAATGATCGAAAAAATATATTCTTAACCCGCGTACTCTTGATTCGTCGAGGCGCTTGATACCGAATAACGGCCCTGCGTCGCTGTAATTAACCGGGAAAACATTGTTTCTTGTTCCAGACACTGTTCGCGCGCGCGCGGGATTCCGGGGATGGAGTTCCGGTGAGTGGCGGGCCGAGCAGGGTCGGTTCGAAGGTAGGTTCACGGACTTCTTCTTTGCCTAATTCTGTTGGATCTCAAAAGACATTTCTTGAGGGAAAGAAATTTTTTTTCACTTTTGGGATTAATCGAAATGTCGTCAGACGCAATATAATTTATTAATATAATTGTTTTGCTGTTCGTTTCAGATTGTTGTAGCAGACCGGCCCTGGACAGCTCGGTGAGTGATCATTTGAACAAATTATGGTGATGGTTTTTATAATGTTTCGTCGGTTTCAATGCCGAGGAATGTTTCACATTAATTAAATTCCGTAGTGCGCTACTGAACGCACGACAATTCCGGGATGTCCTTTTTGCGCACTGTTATCTGTGTTCTTTTCTTCCTTTTCACGATCGTTTCTTCATTTTACACGATCTAATCGATCAAATATTCTCTATCGTTTTAAAATAATTTCGCTACATAGCGATCCAATGATGCCAATTGATAAATAATTTCGAGATTAAACGTCAATTCAGTGTATACTTTTCTTATACGCCGTTAACATTGAAATATCTAGTACTTTGAAGTATCTATCACCATTTATCGATACCGATAATACCTCTTCCTTTCTCTCTCTCTCTCTCTCTCTCCGAGTTTTCGGCGCGTTACACAGTCGGATTCTCGAAATATATTTCTTCGAAGAGAGAATTTTGCGTCAACCGATCGTCATCTAAATTCTCTTTTGAGAAATCATACTCCATTTCGTTTCATATCGCCCGACACAGATTCGAGAGAGGCTCGGACTCGTCTTCGTACCTGCAGTAGAAGTCCGATTAATAGGCGGTCGCTTGATGATGTAAGATTTGAGTAAAGTGACTGAGATGATGCGGTGGTGGCGGTCCAGGTAGAGGACTGTGCTGAGACGCCGTTGCCGACGGCTGACAGACGTACCAATTCCCTAGTTCCGCGCTACGGGCGGAAAGGTGACTCGTGGGTGGTGCCGCGTTGCTCGGCGTCGTCGTCGTCGTCGGGGCTACCGGGACAACCGGTGGTGGTTGAGGCGATTCCGTGTGCCCGGTCACCGACAGGCTGCCACCGCTGCTCGTGCTCTCGTCGCCGTCACTGTCGTATCCGCCGCCAACCTTGCCCTCATTCATCGATACGCCGTGTATCTGAAAAGAAAGAATAGAACGCGGAAGCGTTGATTAACATTTTGCGTTCGTGTCCGGCGATGCACCTTGCACCTACGATCCCAAAGAGTTAATGTCGTTGAATTCGCGAAACATCGTCGAGAAGACTTTTCTATATGAACTTCTACAACAACACTTTCTCAACAAATTCTTTGTTAATACAGTGACAACAATTTGGGTGAAAGAAAGATTCGTTAGAGCAAAACTTAATTTCGTTATGCCAACTAAATTTTATTACTGTCGCGACGACGCTTTGCTACAACAGCAAAATTATTTTTCCCGTGCAACACATTTTTTTTTCCATTACTATATCAACAATTTGTTGTGCCAGCGAAACTTGTTTTCTCCGTGTATGATTTTTTCGCGAGAAACATTGTTTTGAAATTGCTTCTCTTGTGATTATCGAGTCGATGAAAGAGAGAAAACATTGCCCCGATCGCGAAAGCTTGGTCGAGAGTAAGTCAAGAAGCACTTCTATCCTTTTGTTCTATCCTTTCCTCCTTCATAATTCAGTGAGCAAATCTCAAGGACTGCCTTCCGCGAAACACGTCTGCGAAAAATCACGGAGTAAGAACGAGATAGAGAGAGAGAGAGATACAAAAACCTTTCTGTAAAGCTGACCTAATCTAGCCTATCGCATATGTATCTTGAAAGTCGGGTTTTGAACGGTTCTCTTTCTGTCTTTCCACGTCATGATAATTCCTTATTTAGATTCCGTGAAATCGTTCGCGCGAAAAAACGCACGTTGTTGCCTTGGGAATAACTCTCATTCCCTTTTGCTTCCTTTTTATTGTCAGTGAATTCTCCTATTCCTGAATATATTCATAAACGAAATGAAAATTGATCCTGGTGAGAGTAGAATTTTGAAGATGGTCGCACTGAGAAAAATGTCCAACCGGATAATCCAATTAAAAAGTAACAAACGGCGACTAATTTTCCGATTAGGTCGGTAACATCGGTAACTGTATCGAATAAAAGTCATTCATCACTTGATCGGATAATAAAAATCGGATCGATCGGAAATTTTTCTCAGTGCGGTTAATGCTTAACAAATTACGATTAGAATAATATGCACAAGTTTTGTCTCAGAGATCTTATCAAGAGATCATTCGATCGGGAATTAAAAAGTTAGATGAAACGATAGGCAATTTCGAAATACAGAGCTCATTAGATGAAACTGTATTTTGCGTCTCTTTTGCGTCGGTCGACGCTACTCTTCGAACGGGCCGTTTGTTTCACAGTGAAGTAAATTTACGTTCCGCAATTTGCGCAACTTTCGCCACTTTCATATTAAAGATGATCGATCAGCATCGCGACAGTGGCGAAAATGACTTCGATATTTCCGGATTGGATTTTTCACACGTCTTTATTGAAAATCTTTCCGAAATCTCACAGCGATCTGTACAGTCGAAGATCAATTTTGCAACGCGAACGTTGTCTTGAAGAAACTTGCGCATCTCGCAGATGAAACTGTAAAACTTACATCACTTGCGAAATAAGCGGCTCGGATGTAAACGACGGGATTGAATCGCTAGTAGTGCGCGCTCGTTTGCCCATCAAGCTATGTTCATGATTAACTGGAACAGGAGACGCACCTTCATGTGCTTGCGCAGTGAGCTAGGATGCGTGTAGGACTTGTCACAGCCGCTTACTCGACAATTGTAAGGCTTGTCCGATGTGTGAACGTGGCTGTGCTTCTTGCGATCGCTACTGTTAGCGAACCGCCTGTCGCAGCCGCTGTATTCACATTTGAAGGGCTTCTCCCCTAGAAAAGAAAAGAAAACTGGCTTAATAGCATTCTAATGGGACGAATCATTTGAACATCGGTGAGAAATGGTTTTTTGCGAACACGTCGAAAAGTTTTTCAACTGTCTTTTACTTGAATACCGCTCGATAAAGCTCGTGTGTAAATAATACTCGTCGCACTAAGTTCGGAGAACGTTAAGACGTCTTTCAGGTAATAATATGTCCAAACGATATTTCGTCTTTTAGACGTGAATGTTGATAGGAAAAGCCACCGAATCGCGCGCTCTACGTAGGTGTTGACAATTAAAAAAGTGTTTGCGCCCGTTCGTCTCGATTCCCGGTATATCTTGATGAGCAGCGGCGGAACTCCTCTCGATGGCTCCTTCCGACTTAGGGCGCTGGAGGAAAAGAGAGATATCGAAAGATAAGGTCTCCTGCACACGAATGGCCGCCCCGTTGTCGGGGGCGCAGCGAGACCGTGTGGCGTGACTTTTATTTATTTCCAGCGGAAGTTGACTGGAATATATTTTACCCCCGCATTCTACTCCCTTTTCCTCTCTCGAGAAGAGCGGAGACGCGCGAACAGGAAGCGCGAACTTGGCGGATTTTTTATGGGGAATATGGCGGCCGACTGTGTTCTCACCCCCGGACGAGGGGCGAATCGCGGCTGGAATTGGGAATACGTGTCGTTGAAACATATAAACCCGAGACGAGCGCTGAGGGGAGCTCGCGAGAAACATAGATATTTTTTATGCATATACATCTTGGGAATGTGCGAGCGGAAATGTGTCGAGTAGATCCGTCCGCGGAAAATTTTCAACTGCGTTTAATGATTAGAAATAATATCAATGTTAAATAACTGCGCGAGTTTTACCATTTCGTAGTCTGGCGGGAAATCATTCACACTCAGAGAAAAGAATGGTCAGTCTCGTTAAAATTCTAATCATTTTCAATCGACCTATATTTTTCTATTATTCCAAAAAAACAATATGCAATCAAGCAATTATATATTAAACGCTTTTCCCTCAGTATAAACTGACGAAGTAGCAATTATCGTCGAAAAAGAATTCGATTTATTTCGCGACGGATTCGTAACCTGATCTTCGTTGTTTCCGCGGGAGAACATGTTAAGCTTCGTGTCGTTATTCATCTTACGTGTGAAAAACGCGATAAGATTACGGTGGCGGGAGTGACGTATCGTCGCGATACAGATTATATTCAAATCGTTCGGACACGTTGCCGACGGGCATCCGTGGTATGGGCGTCATAAGCGGGCGTCTTAAATATTTATGAAGCAGCGGAGATAGCGGTTCACGCACGACGTCACCTCTTATCTCTCACGGTGGTGCAACTTTGTTTCACTTTCTTTATTCGCCGGCGGAAAGATCTCAATTGTTGAATTTTACGGACACTTTATCTCGATTGCAAATTGCGCAATAACGCTCGCCTACCCCCTCCTTTCTCAAGAAATATATCGAGCTTCATGGCGCGGAAAATCTTTGCAACAATGTGAATAATTATGAATTCATTTTCATACATTATTATTTTGGTACGTATCAGCAGAATTGGAGATCTTTTCGATTCAATATTTGAAACAACAACGTTGTTAATTTGTCAATAATTTTGCTACTGAGTCAGAAAGATTTGCTTAACGATAACGGTACCGTTGTTCAATTTCATCGCATTCCTTGCCCGTGGTGATGTATGGAAAATGAATTAATAATTATCTAGAAAATTTCGTGCACGACGGGCATGCATCCACGTCTCAATCTGTCTCCCCATATCGCAAAAGAGTTGGTCTTGACTTTTTGTATGCGATCTCCACCCATCGATTCACACCTCCTCGAGGGGTCTTCTCGAGCCGATCGAAAGGGGCACGTACGCTCGCGCAGCCAATGCGTCGTCTGGTTAGCCAGCTCGCATAAAANAAAAGGGGCTCCTCGTCTGCCAGGGGGGGGGGGGGGAGCACCGTGACACTCCTTTCCAAAACAGGACGATTAATAACTTTTCAAATCTGTCCCCGGCAGGGTCGTGAGTCCGGGGACCGCTTCGGTAGCGCGCGCGTTGGCAAATAAATAGCAGATAAATAAAAGCGCGCGTCTCTCCTACGTCGTGCATTCTGTCGTGCGCGCGGGGTTGCGTGTGCAGATGGCAACAATATGCCGTGAAATATTGCCGGTGGTCGATGTGTGCAACCGCTACGACGCGCACACACAGAGACCGGTCCCGTGCGTGTCAACGCGAGACTGTGGTGGTGGTCGCGTAGTGTTTGCGTGAATACAGGGTGTCCCATAGGAACAGCGTTTTAATCTCGACGATCAGCTTGAGATCGCTCCCTCTTTAAGTGACACATTGATTGAGTTTTCTGAATTATTAACGAACGACTTTCGTTCCGCTGAAATGTCGTATTTACAACCTGCATTTCTCGCGGAAATTTCAATAAATTTCGTTCGTGTAGAATTTTTAAATTGAAAATTGCGACCGGTCTTCTGAAACAGCCTGTATACACACGACAATGCGAGTCTCTGTGCATCGTATGTCGCTACGCACACGCGTGCGTCCCGGGATACAACGCGCACGAGCGAAATCTGTGGCTACAGAAAGGTCGGACTGTGTCGGCCACCGCGCGTTCACATCCTCGGGCACACATACCAACGCGAAACTTGAAATTCATGGTGCACCAGGTTATACCGTGGTATAGCACAGCCAAAGGGGAACGAAGGGCAGTGTAGGCATCGTGTTATGACTTTCAGAATGGAAAGGCACAATGGCCCAGATCCACGCCGGATAAAATAGTTATTATAATCGTTTTGGCTACGGCTGAAATCGAAGAGCGATACGCGTGTGTAAGTATTATCCGGCATCACGAAGATAGAGCGCCATTTGAGTTCAATGGCTAGATTTAGACCGTGAGCACCCAAATAGAGGAACGAACGAACGAGCGGATCACGATACGTCGATTCTAATCTGTACGGATTCCGAATGGAAGTCCACGTCGTGCGAAATTTAACGACTAATTGACGATCCCCTTTTCTCCGTAAAACGTCCGTTCGCTGTCACTAAAATTTGGGAAGGCCACAAAAAGTCATGAAATGTTGCCGTCGGACGGAAATGTGCTCGCAAAGGCTGGCGCGCGCGCGAGTTCGCCTTTTCTTCGGCAGAACCTTCGAGGAAAACTCGTCGAAAAGTTTTCGGAAAAATGGCCTGCCGAAAAACTCGAGTGATGTATAGGGTGTCATTGTCCAGAAATCTTCCCTCGTACGTGTCCCATAGGATAATGGACGATTTTTCGCGGCGATTGTATTGGTGGAGGACACCAGCTCAGTCTCGCAGTCATTGTTGGAGCCCCTCTCTGCTCCTTCCTTCATCTTCCCGGTCCATTCTCGCGGGCCCCTCGAGTGGATAATTTTCTTGTTATACGTTCGGTATTAGCCAAGATCTCGGAGGTCCCCGTGTCAAGTACACATATCGATTTCAAGCATCGCGATCGCCCGTCCAGATACCGGAAAGTCACTGTGACTCGGTCTCACCGTGAATTAGGATATCGGAGCCGCCCGCAATCTTCGATCTCAGTCGAATTCCTTTTTTTCGCGGCGATCCGCCCTTCATTTCCCCATCGCCGTGTAATTTTCGCCCGCTCGCGAGATTGGTGCTTTTCTTTTTTTTTTTTCACGCCGACCGGACGGAAGTGCGAGTGATAAACGTTGTGATTTAATGAGAACCGGGAGGGTGGACGTAGCACGCACATTCGGGAGGAATTAAAATCTCGAGCCGCGCGCTACGGGAGGGTGATTTCATCGGCGGCTTGTCGCGGGAGAATGAAAACGGTCGCCGCGCGTTAATCATCGTCCGCGTAGCTGTGGGCTCGAAAGTATCGCTCCATGTATCACTGTGAGAGATTCGAATTGCGCAGCGACGCTTTTCGCGGCGATCCATCGAAGTCCGATCACGGCTTTCAATTTTTTTCGCCTCGACGTTCGATCGTTTCCGCCACTTCCAGTCACTCCAGGTACCTCCGATAACGGACCGTTTACGCAACACCTGCTTCGTCGCGCGCCCACCGATTCGTCGGGACAAGATCCCGGATTTGTATTAGCGAGGAACGTTTCCGCACGAGCGCCTGTCTACGAGCGAAGGAAGAGGCCGAAAGGAGGAAAAGGAGAAAAAGAGTGAGACGAGAGATGTCCTGCGAGCGTACTGCGAAGTTTTTGCCGAAGGATGGGCGCGCGCGAAACGAGGAAGCGCAGAAAATTGGNGGGGGGGGGGGGGGGTAAGTCGGCCGAGGGAAAAGAGCGAGGAAAAAAAGAACCGCAGATCCGTGGGTAAACGTAACTACCGGTTGATGCGCCGATCATTCCGCCATGCTGGTTCTGAAAGGGAGAGCGCCATCGGCAGATGTTTCTTTGCTCAAGTAATTCGAGTGTTTGCCCGTTCCCTCTTTCTTTCTCTCCTTCTCTCTCGCTCGCTCCGAGGAAGCCTCACGGGTCTCCATGATATACCCACCTCCCGGTGTCTATTGGAAAGCACGTTGGGCCACTACCTCCAGATCGCGTTGACCCAAATAACGTCCCGATGGAACTAGGCGGATCTCCCTTCCTCTCTCTCTCGCTTAGGAAATGATTACACCGCTCCAGATTTAATTACGCGGCGATACCGTCGCGATGAAATTTCCATCGTAAAACCTTCGGTCGCGCGACGACGAAAGTGATATTGCGCGAGAAGCATCTCCGGTGTTTTTCGCCCTTACCATCCTGTCAGTTAACCCGACGTCGTTTCGCTCTCTCGAAGAATTCGGTAGCCCGGTGTCCCTCGCACGTAGTTTAGAGTCGTATATCCTTGCCCGTTATCTGAGTCGTGATGCTACCGTTGCTCGGATCCTCTCACGCACACGCACGTCCAGTGCGGGGGGACCGCGTTTACACGACGTTTATACGTGTTTATGTAAACGCCGGTCCAGGTCGCGCACACGTGTTGCGGTTGCCGCTGTCGCTGACAACCAATCTCTCCCGTCCCTCTCCC